TTTTTTTTTCTGTTAGCTGGAACTGATTAAATAGAACTTTTCTTGTTCTCTTGCGCATTTCTGAAATTCAGGGATGTGATGCATCTGTATTACTTGATGATACTAGCACTACTAAGGGGGAAAAGAATGCACTGCCTAATCGAAATTCAGCAAGAGGCTTTGAGGTCATTGACAATATAAAGGCTAATGTGGAGAAAGCTTGCCCATCTACTGTTTCCTGTGCTGACATACTCACTCTTGCAGCAAGGGATGCTGTTTTCCTTGTAAGAAATTCTCTTTTTAATGCAATATTTTTTGTATGTTTATGTACCATCCTCTTGTTTATACTCTTCTGTTTATATTGGCATTGCAGGCAGGAGGGCCATTTTGGCAAGTACCCTTAGGACGCCGGGATAGCCTAACCGCAAGTGAGAATGCAGCTAACCAGCAGCTCCCGTCACCTATTGAGCCCTTAGAAAACATCATTGGAAAATTCACTTCAAAGGGTCTTGATATCCAGGATGTGGTTGTTCTCTCGGGTTTGCTTCTCAAACATCAACTATGATTGAACTTAATGCCAGAAAAAGTTAGAGGGACCTTCAGCATTGATTGCTATGACATCTAATTTTCTTTATGAAATAATCTGTGTGTTTTTTTCAGGTGGTCACACCATTGGTTTTGCACAATGCTCCACGTTCAAAACAAGGCTCTTCAACTTTAGCAGCACAAGTCAACCTGATCCAGCCCTTGATGCCTCATTCCTCGAGAGTTTGCAAAGTATTTGCCCAAATCAAGTTGATTCAGACACTAATCTGGCTCCTTTGGATTCTGCTACCACCTACAGATTTGACAACGCTTACTATACAAACCTTCTGAACAATTCGGGCCTCCTCCAGTCAGACCAAGCCCTAACAGGGGACAACAGAACTGCCTCCATGGTCCTTAACTACAGCAAGTATCCTTATCTTTTCAACAAAGACTTTGGAGCATCAATGGTGAACATGGCCAACTTGGGTGTGCTAACAGGGAAAGATGGAGAAATAAGGAAGAATTGCAGGGTAGTGAACTAGAAACCTGTATCTATCTGTATCCTGGAAGAAATCAGAACCAACTACTGAAATTCATCTTGTCTTGTTAATTTAAGGTGTGGGAAATAATTGGCAAGCTGAATCCTTTCTTTAAAATTGTCCAAGCTAGGTTTGGTTCTTAACCTCAATGAAAAGAAGATAATTTCCTATGAATTCCTCAATCCCTACATGAATAACTTGCTTTTTGACCAGACTAAAATACATAAATAGCATACTTTTATTTGTATTGCAGCATTACATTCGAGTCTCCACAGACACAAACATAAATTCATGTCAAGAATCCAAATTACAGAACAGAACATAAACCCTAGCGCCAAGGTTAAAATGTTTCACCACTAAGCTTGAGTGCTCTGTGTCTTGAAAGCTGCTTAGCAAACTTGGCAAGAGCTTCTTCATTGCTACACCCTCCCTCAACTTGCACAAACCTGCTATCCTCAAGATTCACTCTCGACACTGGCTTCTTCAACAACACTTTTCCAATCTCCACTAGCTTTTGCAAATTCTCCTTCGTTGCAAGGTCAACAGTTGAGGCATCAGCAATCAATGTATCGTCCTGTTAACCAACAATAGCTCAAAAGTCATCCTTAATTGGCACATTTTCCTCCTAAACAAGTCCGTTTTTCAATAATTACCTGAATTCGGAGATAATTTTCCTCGCAATCAAGGGACTGAAACATGGTGGAGACATGAAAGTCAACCATATCAGAACTTCCTTCAGCAAAAACGTCGAGCAGCGGTGTCTTTCCAGCATTATAGAGCCACCTCAGTGTGTCCCATTTGGAGGTTGTAGTTGCCTTATGCTTCTCTTCTTGCTTGGCCGTGCCAGTGCCCAGCGACAGCACCAGCATTTTTCTGCTATCCATCGGCTGCGGTCCTACTGTCACAACCTCGGAGTTCTGCTGCTTCAATATCTCCTTTGATACGTGGCTCATAGCCAACAACGTCTACATAATCCCATAATTTGCCAATTGATAAGTTGTAAATGCATAAAGATGAAAATTTCACGAATGATCCCTAGGGATTGAGACAATCTGTGGTATATTACGCTTTTGCAGGTCAATTGTATAATGAATTAATGATAATTTAACATATTATCAAAAGTGAAGTTTTATATAAAATTACATAAGTTCAAATGAATGAAACTGAAATTTAATTTTTATTTTATTTACATATCAAAATTTTATTAGTATATTATAGTACTTTAAATTCAAGTACCATAGTTAGATTTTTTTTTTGAATGAATTATAACCTGGTTAGTGAGGATATCAACTATGATAGAATGTTCAAATTCACCTCAATGTTAGGTAATATGAATCAATCCACTTTGTAACAAAAAATAAATAAATAAATCCACTAGGTTTTTGATTTAAGCCCCGTTTGGTATAGCGGTTTTGGGATAACGGTTAACGGTTTTACCTAAACTGCTAAATATAAGTGTTTGGTAAATTTACATATTTCGAAACCGGTATAAATAGAGTGTTTGGTAAAATTTTTATTTAACGGTTTGAGATTAACGGATAGCGGTTAGAATCCAAACCGCTAGCGGATTGAAAAAGCTAGTTTATATAGCTTTTTATACCGAACCGCTAATGAATTAAAATTTTTTTAATTTTATTTACAAATTTTTTCATTTTAATTTTTTAATTTGTGGTCACATTTTTTAATTAATAATGATCTAATAAATTTCAATTTTATTTTTTTACCTTTAATAACATTAAGTGATTATAATATTTTTTTTGTACATTAATTTATAATTAAAAAATATATTATCTTAAAAAACAAAATTTGTTAATTAGACAAAATGAT